GTCCCGGTCCCGGTCCCCGCCAGCACCGAGATGCGCCCGGGAGCCGCCGCGAGCGCAGCCCCGACAGGTACGGGGAAGAGGGGGGGAGGAGGGAGGGGAGCGCCCATCCCCGCGGTCTCGCAGGATGCCGCACGCCCCGTCGTGTGGATGTGGACTCGGGTCCCGGCTGCGCATCCCCGGGGCTACGGCTTGAGCCCCGAGAGTCTTGGAGCAGCAGCTCCCAGAGCCGACCCGGTGCTGGGCGCTGGCCCCGGTGGGGCTGAGCCCCTCGGCAAGGGGTGTCCTGGGCTGGGGAGGTCCCAGCTGGGCTGTGCCCACTCCCTGCCTGAGCAGGGCTTCGGCATCCCTGGGAAGGGGCTTTGCCGTTGGGCATCTCGGCACCCCTGGGTGCTGCCGTGGCTGTTGTGAGCCCCGGGCGAGTGACACCAGCTGGGCTCTGACGTGCTGGGAGCACCTCCCTGAGAAAGCCCCTCGCCGGGTGGTGCTCGCTGGGTCTCCCCACCGTGGGCACAGCAGTGCCTGCGGCTTTCTTGCCGAGGGGTGGAAGCAGGGGACACTTTTCCACCCTTCCCAGCGCTCCCCAAGCTCTCCGGGTGTTGCAGGGGCCCATTGCGAGTGCCCTTTGTGACTCTGTCCCAAGCTCTGCTGTGTCAACACGGTGTTGGTAAATGGCTTTGTTTAACCAGGACATGTTGGGTATGTGACCTTGCCGCCCTCACGGTTGCAAGCGCATCTCCAAAGCAGCTGCCAAGATCACCTCTGCCCGGCACTGTGCTTCCCAGCCTGGCAGCTCCCTTGGGGGTGGCAAGGGAGGGCAGGGCACACCGGTGTCAGTCCGGCTCCCCTCGAGCCGTGGCAGCTGGATGGGCAGAGGATGGGGCATCTGCTGCTGCCCAGCCAGCGCTGCTGAGCGTGCATCCGCCCAGCGCCTCGCCATGCGCCCTGTAATGCAGCCGCCTTGCCCCACACAGCACTCGGCAGCGTGTGTTGTGGGCGTCCTGACCCATGCCAAATTCAGTGGTTGCCCCTGTGATTTCCTCGGCTTTATCTGTGCATCAGCAGGAAAATTTAGGGCCTGCAGGACCCCTCCTCGGCATGTTAGTGCCGCCCCAGCTGCCAGCTCCTGTCCTTCCCACCAATCCCCGCTCCTTTCTGCATGCTGCGGTGCAGATTTTTTTATGTTCTGTTGCCTGGAGAGGGGAAAAGGAAAAAGGCTGAATGGAGAAGAGGCAAAATGTGGATTAAAAATAGTTAATGAAAAAATGTAACCGCAAGCCCTGATCAGCAGGGCAGGGCTGAGACCAGCTGCCGACTGCAGCGCTGCTCCATGCACCTCACTGTGCCAGGCAGAGGCAGAGGCAGAGGCAGCGGCAGCGGCAGAGGCAGAGGCAGCGTCTGGGCAAGCCGGATGCAGGGGAGATGGGACGGCCGCTCCGCTCCATCCCCCTGTGCTCCTCCATTGCATCCTGCCCTGTCCTGCATCCCCCACAGCCAGAGCCCCTGTCCTTTTCTGTCTACCCCCCCGCCCAGGGGGTCTGGGGAATTCGGCTGTGAGCAGCAGACACCAGTGGTCGGCTGGGCACGAGTGCCACCCCGCAGCACCGCCTGCCTTCGGCACGGCTGGTGGCTGGCCGTGCCCAGGTGCTGCAGGTGCCTTGAGACAGGGAGGGACCCTGCCAGGACCGCTTCCAGGACGGGCTGCTGTGTGCAATGTCACTTGCACATCTGCACCTCGGCAGGGCAGGGTTTCAGCTCGCTCCTTGGTGAGGTACCGGGAGGTTGTCCCGAGTTCCGTGATGACCACAGTGTTCATTCGTGACATGAGCTGCTCTGGGGAGGCTGGTGCTGAGCTCCCAGTGCAGGCGCGTGTGCACACACGCCTGTCTGCACTGACCTTTTCCTAGGCTTTTTCCAGTCCTGTGCTTCCCCTGTGACATGCTAACCACACGTGTCACGCCATGTCACGCCGTGTCTCTCGTGCTGTCCTCCTGTATTTCACGGGTTTTCACGCAATGCGATGAACAAGAAAAACCCATTTCCCCGAGCCAGGATCGAGGTGCTGTGTGGCTCAGCATCCCCTCACCAGAGCCTGCCGGGCAGCAAGGTTACTCGACCACTGCCTGGCTGCCCAGCCGTGCTTGCAGACCACGCTCCCTCTCTGGTACTGTGGAAGATGCCCTTGACCATCCCTTTCAGTAGCAGGGCAGTCGTGGAGGTGATGCAGAGAGTGTTCGTCCTGATGGCACAGGGGCAAGTGCCGTTTGCATCCTGTGTTGCTGTTGACGAAAACGCTGTCAGGGTTGGTTTAGGTTTTCTTGGTCCAAAGTGACACAGAATCCGACATCGTCGGTGCCTGGTGACGTCGGCTCTCCGTGTGCTGCCGCTCAGCGTTTCCACAATCATGTAGCTCTGTGCAAACAAGCTGTGGTTTTGTAGCGCGAGGGCTGCTCCAGGCAGTTCAGTTGTTCCTCCGCTGCCCACGTTCCTTGTACTCACTTCACGGGGGGGGGGACTGGAGCAGTTGTGGGTCGCAGGTGGGGAGCGGGAGGCACCCCCAAGCTCGGAGCAGGGACACAGGTGGGGACAGCGCAGGGTGCGGGCCAGACCTCCTGGGCCTCCCCACCGCGGCCATCTCCCCCCGCCGCTTGTCCTGCTTGCCGTGGTCCTGGTTGGAAAGTGGAGCAGCATCTGCAGGGCCTGGCTCGTGCTGGCATTGCATCAGCTCTGGCCCTGCACCGTCCCCTCCCCTGCCAAGTGCCGAAGCCCCTGCTGCGCTGGCTTGTAGCTCTGAGCTCAAAGCCAAGCCAGCCGTGGAAGGCACTGCATTAACGCACTGGGGGCTAATCCCTGTGTCTGGAGGGCGCACAGGCCCCACCGCCGCTTCCTGAGCAAGTGGTGCTGCGCTGGGCACAGGGCTGCGCTTGCGGGGCTGGGCTGCGGTGGGCTGTGCCGGCCTCCCGGTGCTTGTATGGGGCCATGGCTGTGCCAAGGTGCTCCCGGCTCACGTTGCAGATGCCCATGAGTGTCCCCGTGGAGGCTTCACTGAGCTGCTGATCCATGTAGCAATCGGCCGCAGCGATCCCAGATGTGGAGCTCGTTCCCTCGCACATGTGGTGGCAGCCAGAGCCAGGTGCCGGCCGAGGCAGCAAAATCCCCAGGGGAAGCCAACTGAGGCAGGAGGAAGAGAGCGTTTCTCCCCCGGCCAGGGCCGGGTGCTCAGCCGGCCGCGGGAGTCTGCACAGGCACAGAGCTGCTGCAGGGCAGCACAGGGGCTGCACACCCACGGGTGGGGGGCAAAATCCCGACACAAGCCTTTTCCCATCCATTCCCTATGGCTCGGTGCGATGCTGCAGCCGTGGCAGCAGCCTGGCGGCACAGCAGTCCCCTCCCCAGGCTGTGTGCCCCGGCCCCCGCCCTGCCAGCAAACCCCGGGGCCGGCGGCTGCCGGGCCATGAGCTGCTGGGAGGGGGCAGGTCCGGGGGCCGCAGAAAAGCTGGTCCGGGGGGAGAGGGGGTCCTTGCTCTGCCCCCGCCACTGCAGGGGTTGGCACCGCTGGCTCAGGAAGGGCTCAGCACACCAACGCCGGCACCAGTGACCACCCCGCTCCCCCCACCCCAAGGGTAGATGATGGTGCCTGGGTCTGACACCTCCGGCCCCCCCCAGCACTGGGGCTGCCGGCATTGACCCCTTCCCCGTGTGGGCGCAGCTGTCCTGGGGCTGGTTCCTCTTTCCTTGTCTCCTGTTGCGGGCGCGAGGTCTCCCTCGCCAGCAGAGCAGCGCCGGGTGTTTGCAGCCCGGCCTCCGTGGGGGTCAGCAGCCGCAGAGCCATGACACAGGAACACGCCGCGTTGCCCAATGCCAGCGTGGGGCAAAAGTCCCCTGTGTGCCCACTGTGGCGTGCCGCAGCCCCAGCAGATGCACCCGCTCGTATGCTAGGCTCCCTCCACCTGGTGCCCACTGCTCGGCGCGGTGGAGGTTCCCCCAAAGCCTGGCCCCAGTTGGGGGCAAGGTGCTGGGGCAGGGAAACGCGGCACCGGGAGCCAGTTGGGCACGGCAGGGTGAGGGGAGGTGGTGACGTGGAGCTGGGTCCTTCCCGCGGTGCTGCCTCTGGTAGCAGTGGACACGGCAAAGATGGGCTCCTGGCACCAGCGGCCATGGCACGTCCAGCCAGCAGCGACCGCTGCTCCAAGCACTGTGGGCACCGATACTGGGCAGTGCCAGCTCCTGGGGAGGTGCTCAGCACTGCCGGTGGTCCGAGCCACCCCAGACCCTGCCGTCCCAGCTGCACAGGGCCACTGCTCCTTCCCTGCCGCTGCCTGTCTGCACCAAACCACAGACAACTGGTCCACGGCTACTCCTGCGTGCCCACGTATCTGCTAGAAACTGCCTGCGTCTCCGAGAGCACACCGCGGGGTGGCCGAGCTGCCAGGGGTCCCTCACACTGCAGAGAGCGGGGGGCCGGCACGGCGCTGTGGCTGCATGGCACCGCGGGCAGCTGGGGCAAAGGGCCTGGGCAGGGCCTCACTGCGAAGCGGGGAGCCCCGTGCCGGAGGCGAGGAGCGTGACCAGCCCTGCGCGCCAGGACCCCTCACCCAGTGCAGTCTGCCCAGCTTGGCCACGGCAGAGCCCCGGGGCCGGGGGAGCAGCTGCCAGCCCAAGGGGGAGTCTAGGGCAGAGGCCTCCCCGCCCCTAAATCCCATTGCAGGCAGCTAAAAATAGAGACACCTCTGCCCCAAAGCTGCCTCCCCAGGCCACGGAGAGGGGCTGGCAGCGAGTTCGCTGCTGACCCGTGGTGCCCGGGAGGAGCGTTTCATCCTGGGGCAGGGATGCTCAGGGCAGGGGCCA